CCTGTCTCAGCCTCCCGAGTAGCTGGGACTAAAGGCACATGCCATCACGCCCAGCTAATTTTTTGTATTTTTAGTAGAGATGGGGTTTTCCCATGTTGGCTAGGCTGGTCTTGAACTCCTGTGCTCAAAGAGATCCACCTGCCTCAGCCTTCCAAAGTGCTGGGATTACAGACATGAGCCACTACGCCCAACCCCAATTTAACAAGAAGTATTAAAATGCCTTTCATGCGTCTGACAAATATTTATTGAGTGCCTGCTATGAGCCAAGCTCTTTTCAAGGCACTAAGTATTCAGCAAATAAGAGAGAAAGATCCTTGTTCCCAAGGAACTTACATCGTAGTAGGGGGAAAATGAGATCTAGACAGATTTTTTTAAAGATCCAAAAATCAGATAACACAAAATGCTATCTGGAAAATTAAGAACCTCAATGAAGGCTAGGCGCTGTGGCTCACGCCTGTAATCCCAGAACTCTGGGAGGCTGAGGCGGATGGATCACAAGGTCATGAGTTCAAGACCAGCCTGGCCAACATAGTGAAAGCCCGTCTCTACTAAAAATACAAAAATCAGCCAAGTGTGGTGGCAAGCATCTGTAATCCCAGCTACTCAGGAAGCTGAGGTGGGAGAATCACTTGAACCCAGGAGGCAGAGATTGCAGTGAGCCGAGATGGCACCACCGCACTCCAGCCTGGGCAACAGAGAGAGAGTCCATCTCAAAAACAAAAACAAAAAACAAAACAAAAACTCTATGAAGAGTTGTTGGTTAAACTAAGACGTGAAAGCCAAGACAAGATCTTCCATGCCAATATTATGAGGTCAGGCATTATTGTCACAGAGAACAGCTGGTGCAAAAGTCCTGAGGCTGGAACAAGCTTGGAGTGTGGGAGGCAGAGAAAATGACTCTTGTGTCCAGGGGAGAGGTGGCAGAAGGCAGAGTGGGCATGGATGAGGTGGGAGAGGCAGTGGGGTTTGGTCAGAGTCTTTGTGGACTCAAGAACAGGATGTGGATTTTACCTAAATGCTGATACAGGGCTTTAAGCTGGCAGAATGATGCAATCTGATTTACGTTTCTAAAAGATTATTCTAGGCCAGGCGCGGTGGATCACACCTGTAATCCCAGCTCTTTGGGAGGCCGAAGTGGGCAGATCACAAGGTCAGGAGATCAAGACCATCCTGGCCAACGTGGTGAAACCCCATCTCTATTAAAATATAAAAAATTAGCTGGGCATGGTGGCACATGCCTGTAATCCCAGCTACTCAGGAGGCTGAGGCAGGAGTATCACTTGAATCCAGGAGGCGGAGGTTGCAGTGAGCCAAAATTGCACCACTGCACCCCAGCCTGGTTGACAGAGTGAGACTATCTCAAAAAAGATGGAGGCCATTATCCTCGTTATACAGAAGGGTACACTGAGGTGCAGAGGGAAATATAAGCAGAGGTTCAGGAAGTGAAAAGTTTTGCCCCAAGATCACCCAGCTAGTTCCTAGTAGTGCCAGATCTCCCAGCCCCTTAGTCTTCTCACCATGACATACAGTTTTCTAGTAAACCACTATACTAGTCAGTATCTGTGGTCCCCAATGAGAGAAGAAAGAGAATTTCAAAACAAAGAGACTAATTGAGATCTTAGCAAAAGCATAAAGCCAATATCCACTTGGCATGCCAGGGAGACAGCAGGCAAGATCCTGGCCCTCAAGACAATTAGAATCAGAGGATTGGTGGCATGGCTCATGCCTATAATGCCAGCACTTTGGAAGGCCAAGGGAGGATCCCTTGAATTTAGGAGTTGGAGACCAGCCTGGGTAACATAGCAAGATCACATCTCCACTAAAAATAAAAATAAAAAAAATTAGCTGGGCATGGCAGCACGTGACTTTAACATCAGCTTCTCAGGAGGCTGAGGCAGGAGGGTTGCTTGAACCTGGGAGATCAAGGCTGCAGTCAGCTATGGTCACACCACTGCACTCCAGCCTGGGAAACAGAGTGAAACCCTGTCAAAAAAAAATAAAAAGTTAAAGTTACAGAGTTGGTCATTTGGTAGATATTATTAAGCACCTACTGTGTGCCAGGCATTGGCATTTACCAGGTGCTGGGCATACAAAAATGACCCAGACATAATACCTGCTTTTAAGGAACTTGAGTATCTATAAGACAGAGAAAAATATATGTATTTTTTAAATGTTAAAAAAATAAAAATAAAAAAGCACTACAGACCGGGTCTATACTATGCCAAAATCATCCATCAAGTTAGTAAATTCACCTGTTACATCTTGCAACTTTACTGAATTCATTTCTCAGTTCTATTTTTAGTGGAATCTTTGTTGTTCGTAGGGTACCAGATGTTGCGAACCAGCCCAACCCCGTCCTGAGGGTGAGGAGGAATTGAGAAAAGGAAATAAAGACGAGACACAAGAGTGGAATTTACAGCATGGGTCCAGGGGACCAACGCAAGAGTGGGAACCGCACTGGCCCCAGCTCTGGGCTCCAAACACTTTTATTTTGTGCATAATCTCATTGAAGTTATGGGCATGGAAGGGGAGGTTGAAGGGGTAGGTAAGACAGCCAGGGTGGGGAGAGCACTTGAGATCCTTCTAAGACTTGCTAAACTAGTACTCTGAGTTTATCACTGATTGTTATCAGGGTGCTGCTGCATCAGAAGTATAGCAGAGGAGGAGCCACCCGGTCTGAACACTCCCAACGCATCTAGGGGCTTTTATCTCCCGAGCATTGAGGACATAGAGCAATTAAAATCACTCTATATTCCAAGAACCTAGGCAGAGCCTGAGGCGTTTCGTGATCTCTGCCCTGCAAGGCTTTTCTCCTCCTTGCCAGCTCCCATCTGCAAAGACCCTCCCAGATCTTGTGAGCAGCAGAGGTCGCCTCCCTTCTCAGAGATCTTTGCACAAGCCCTCTTTAGGAGACCCTCATGCAGTCTCCATGTTGAGAAGGCATTCGTGGGACCACAGCAGTATTCCCTGCTCTGCATCCACCCCTCGGTGTTCCCCGGTGTTACTGCATTTCCCGATGGTCTTTACCTTAGGCCTCTTGTTGCTGCTTGATTTCTAATTAACTGCACCAATAATATAGTTTAGTTCGGTGTATAAACTTCAGTGCACTGTGAGCCAATCAAGTTTATAATTATTTAGCTAGAATTAATATAGGTCTCTCCCTGGCCATCTTGACCCATGATCTTTAGGATTTTCTATCGAAGTTCTGGGGATCTAATGTACACACAGTAACTACAGTTAATAATATTGTCTCATTTACTTGAAATTTAATAAGAGAGCAGATTTTAAGTGTCCTTACTGCCCTCTACCCCAACACACACACAAATGGCAACTATGGTGTGGTGACGGATGTGTTAATTAATTTGATTGTAGTAATCATCAATGTATATCAAATTATATTGTATACCTTGAAAATATATAATTTTTATTCATCGATTAATTTTTTAATTGGTTGTCTTATTTTTTTTAACTTGCCACACTGGTTTTCTGACATCCTGCAATTGAAGAAAAGCAATTGCTTACAGGGTAGACTTCAGATAGGGAAAATTAAAAATTTTATAAAGAAAATAATTTTAGTGGGACTCGGTGGCTCACACCTGTAATCCCAGCACTTTGGGAGGCTGAGGGGGGTGGCTCACGAGGTCAAGAGATCGAGACCATCTTGGCCAACATGGTAAAACCCTGTCTCTACCAAAATACAAAAATAAGCTGGATGTGGTGGAGCACACCTATAGTCCCAGCTACTTGGGAGGCTGAGGCAGGAGAATTGCTTGAACCCAGGAGTCAGAGGTTGCAGTGAGCCAAGATTGTGCCACTGCACTCCAGCCTGGTGCCTGGTGACAGAGCAAGACTCTATAGGCTTATACTTTAGATGTTCCACGTGGAGGAATCTTAGGTTTATAGCTTACCATATGAAAAGGGTCTCAGTTTACAGTCTCAGGAACTACATATTAAAAGGGTTTTGGTTTACAGTCTCAGGAACTACATATTAAAAGTTTTCAGTTTACAGTCTTAGGAATGAAAAGGGGAAGTTTACAGTCTTAGGAATGAAAAGGGGAAGTTACTCTGAGATGCCTGGGTCTCCCCCTTTACTCCTGCTCTTTGAGACCCTCACCACTTTATAATATTAGTGAGAGGTCTCACTTTCATTCTCACTTTCCAGATTTTTCCAAGAAACTGATAATGTTTCATATAATATACTTGTAACATCATTTTCTGGCTAACTACAGTAGTGATGAATCCCCTAATCATCTGAACGAACAGGGGGAGTAGACAAGGGAGCAGCAAACAAACACCTGTTATTATTATAACACTTATAATGAGGGTTTTGAATCCTCCCAATGGATGAGAACCAACCTCCAAATAAGGACTCAGGGTTAAATCCGTGCCACACCTGTACAGGCATGTGTGCCAGTTTGGTCATGTCTCGCACCATATCCTCCACTGCTTGCCCTGGTCAGCTATGTGCAGACAGCAGTTGGCTAGATTGAATTTTCCACAGGCTCCTCCCTTGGCTGCTAGCAAATAATCTAGGGCCAGCCGGTTCTGATAAATCATGTTTCTCATTTGAGTTTCTTGTTGGGCTAAAAGGGACAGAGCTTTGCCTGTTTCATTAGTATTTCCAAAACAGCCTGCAACCAGATGATCCGGTTGAGCATGTAAATAGGGGTCCGGTATCCCCATAAGTCATCCTCAGCCCATGTGGCTGGCCCATAGTACTCAATAATTCTCTCTGGTGGCCACTCATCATCTGTCCAACCCCCTAGTTTTAGATCTCTCTTCTCCCTAGCGGAGTAGACTGGATACCCTAACAGCTCACCTGTCTTAACAGATAATAGGAAGAAAGAGGGCTCAACGATGCCTATGACACAGCTACCTGTCCATCTCATGGATTACACACCTTATATTGAGTACCATTATATAAACAGGTTCCCTTCTGTGTCCCCATGCATTTATAAGAACTGCAGGACAAAAGAATGGCAGTAACTTTTACATCCTACCTGGTGTACATACTGAGGGCATTCTTCAAAATTAATGTTCCTACTGTGCAAGTCCAAAAATTAAGAAGAACCAGTCCTACGATGAATCTCCTCATGCTTCGGCTGTGTGTGGACCAGCCAGCTTCCGGGATGTGGCTGGAGCAAGGCTTGTTGTCCTTTTTAAGGTGATTCTGCAGTCCTTGCCTTGGTCTAAGTCTCAGCTGTTGCTGGTTTTTACACAGCTGAGGTGGATTCAGGCTGGGAGTCCCTCTACCTTCACAGCTGTGGGATTGGTCAGGATCAGGTCTGAGGTCCTTTCCATTGTGGCTTTAGAGGGGCTGTACTCCCGTCCTTTATCCACACATGATTACCTAGTGAGAAAGGGTGAACTGGGGAGAAAAAGGCTTCCAGGACATTTGTTATTTACTCAGGTTAAAGTATCCTAAGTGATTCTCCCTAGAGCTGGTAACTAGCATCCTAACTCAATCTCCCTCTACTCCTGAGGAGTTCCTAGGCATGCCCAGAGTAGGGGATGGTCTCGATCTCTTGACCTTGTAATCCACCCACCTCCCAAAGTGCTTGGATTACAGGCATGAGCCACCAGCTGACAGCATCATTTATAACACATTGTTCATCCTAAATTCAGCTGGTAATGGGGGTGGCCACCTGTGTTAGTTACTTGGTTTTATACAAAGCAAAAAGAAACTTCTGCTATCTTCTTGGCAGCAGGTAGTTTTGCCACTGAGTGCCAGGCACCTGCTGAAGCTCACTCACAGAAACTGCGACACAAGGACATGATTTTCCCTGGATGTTTACATTCTTAAGAGATGGCTCGCCGGGTGCGGTGGCTCAAGCCTGTAATCCCAGCACTTTGGGAGGCTAAGGCGGGTGGATCACGAGGTCAAGAGATCGAGACCATCCTGGTCAACATGGTGAAACCCCGTCTCTACTAAAAATACAAAAAAAACATTAGCTGGGCATGGTGCTGTGTGCCTATAATCCCAGCTACTCAGGAGGTTGAGGCAGGAGAAT